GCCTCAAGAGTGTGACTTCTTATTTGCATTTGCATGTGTGAGAAGAAACTGAAGTCCCTCGGGGGCTATGGCAGCTCAGGGCTTCAAAGAATCAGGTCCCTGCTGCAGAGAAGGACCAGATATCAAATGGATGCTTATTGCTTTACAGCTTTTGTTTTCTCTGTATGAGCTACAGATCATTGCACAAGCATTTCCAGTATAGGTGTGGCTGCAGTAATTACTGCTTATTCTTTTGAAGGAGCCTGTGCTTACAAAACACAGCAGGCTGTGAAAGCAGATGAACACGATGTCCAGAAGGGCCCAGTGTGGCCAGCTGAAGTTCAAAGAGTAGGAACAGAGGAATGAGTTGCTTGGCAAGACAAGGGCTTCAGCAAAAACTGGTGCCTGGTGAGCCCCTGGAAGGTGCAGGTGAGCTCTGGCTGAGCAAGGGCTGTGCTCTGCTGAAAGGATAGGGCAGGTGGCAGAGGGAGCCAAAGGGGACAGATGGATATGAAGGAGAGGAAGACTGCAGGGAGAGAGTGCTGCTAGTGCTGTAGGAGTAACAGGCTGGATGTGTTTCAGCTCATCAGCCTCTCATCTATTTTAAAGTTGATATTAAAGTATGAAATAGCGTGTGGCAAACAGGATGGAGGTACAGACAAGCTTTCAAATCAGCATTTAGGGGCAGGGTAATTCTGCATTTCTATTCATAGCTGTGTAGCAGAAAAAGCAGAGGCTGCATGTGCAAGAGTGAGAAGAGCCTGATAAGCAAACGAGGGAGCATTAATATACCAGGAATTGGGAATTTCTTCTTTCAGCTGCATGTAGTGTTGGCTCCTACCAAGTATGAAGATTCCACACACACATCTGGCATGGCCTCTCCCAGAGTTTGCTGTGAGGGGTGATGCTGTGATGGTCTGGCTGTGCTGTTCTGGATGTGAAGTGGGCTGGTCCTGTTGACTGCAGAGCTGCTCCATTTGGGTGCCTGTGCTTGAGCTGCCCTTGCTGTACCCCAGCAGGGATGAGACCTTCACCTCTCAAGCTCACTCCCAAACCTGCTTCTCTATAATCTAAGAAAATGTCCCTCTCCCTTTGCTCTTGAGGACATGACCTCACCATGGCTTTTGGCGAAGACCTGAAGAAATGTCCTTTTCCTTAAATGTTTGTTTTTTTTTTTTTAAATGCAGCCTTTCTTTATCTTGTGCTATGTTTTAATGAATGCTGCAGCAGCCACAGTGGAGAAGGCTGTGGCAGGACTGCAGATGAGTGTCTGAGGGTGTTATTCTTGTTAAAAGTCAGGGCTGAGGCTTTGGTGGCAGGAGGCTTGGCTGCAGAAAGCGAGGAGGGCTTCACCCTGAGCTCACTTAGCCCTGCTCACCCAGAGCAATCACAGCTGCTGCTTTGGACTGTGCAACAAGCAACAGTCCCCAAGGTTCATTAGGCCCTCGCCTATTAAGGGCTTTAAAAACTCAGGTCAGGACCTTGAAACAGATCTGCAGGCCGGGAGTGAGCAGAGTATGTGCAGTATCCGAGCAGCAAGGGGAGCGTTTTGGTTCAGCTCCAAGTGGAACGAACCCACCTGGAGTTAACTGAAAATGCTGGTGGCCACTTTTGGCAGAGAGGCAGGACCAGGCCTGGAGGCTGGGAACACTCTGCCCTCATGCCTTGGGCACGCTGCTGGAGGCTCTTGTGGGAGGTTTGTGCTTCCCACGCTTTATGTGCTTTGTGAACTTTCACTTCCAGAGCTGTCAAGAAAAAGTCTTTCCCTGTAATAACAGACATGTTTTATTTTCTTGCAGTCCATTTGCGTGTGTTTGGTTTAGATGTAAGGGAGAATTTTTTTGTTCTGATGAATATGGTAAAGCACTGGAATACATGGCTCAGATTGGTGATGGATGCCACATCCATGGAAAACATTCAAGGACAGGTTGGCTGGGGCTCTGAGCAACCTGATCTCATTGAGGTCAATGCAGAAGGATTGGCCTATGTGATGTCTAAAGGTCTAATCCAACACAAACTGTGCTATGATTTATTTTCACTCTAACCATACAGTCCCAACAAAAAGGCACTGCTCAGAATGACAACAGCTTCTTAAATATAAACTTGGCTTTTCTGCTCTTAGGTACCTCTCTCCCCACAGGCCACGTGCATGGCAGAGTAATTGTGTGGGGTACAGGACTCTACTTGTTAAACCCATGGAGCTGAAGCTCACGAGAAAACTGTCTCAGGTTTGGACAGGGTTTTTAGGTGAATTCCAAATGTCATTAGGAGGATTTATGGTTTGTGTCTGATGAACACTGTCCTTTGTTTCCTTTCTATTCTTTGGCTTATGAATATGAAAGAATATCTAGCTGATGAGGCCACTGATATTTTAGTATACGGAACAAAGTTAGGATGCTCTGAGTATTTATAAATGTAATCAAGGAGAATTATCCAGATGTCCCATGCCTGTGTCATTTGAGAAGTAAAACTAAGTACAGATAATAAAACCAATATATTCCAGCACTGATTTTTGCTGGCCTCAGAATCCTGGAGGAGATGAGGGACTTCCTGCTCCAGGGGAGTTGCAGGTGCAAACTGAATGGGACAGACTGTAGCTGCAAGTCTGAGGAGTGTAAGGTGGAGAAAGGATGTTCTGGTCAATGTCTAAGAGGAATTGGTCATAATTTTCCTGTATTGGAAAAGTAGATTTAAGAATGATGACTGACCTGTGCTGAGATGCAAGTCCTGCTGCATTGTGTGTCTCGGTGAGAGGGAGTGATGTAGCAAAGCAGGGTTTATCATGCCAGTGGCAGAAGAAGGCAGTCTCTTGGTTCCAGCTCTGTCAGCAGACTGTTCATGGGCGTGGACAGACTATTCTGCCCCAGATTTTCAATTCTTTCATCTACCTTCTCCTCCCAGCATCTCCTCTGGCTTCTTGCCAGGCTGTGTTGTCCTGCAGGAGAACTTTGATTCACTGCTCCTCTGTGGAGCTGGGCTCCTCTCTGCCCTCCACTTTGGGCAGCTTTTGCAGAACACCCTTGGTACCACTGAACTTTGAGTGGGACAGATCTCTTGCCCCTGGTGCAGCCATTTTTCCCAATGCTAGTGCCCCTATTTCAATCATTTCAAAATGCAGGTTTTCCATGCACAGTTTTATGATGTTTGGATGAAATCTGAGGCTGCAGCTCATACATACACAGCTGCTGGACCGTATTGCTTCTGTCTCCTTTTCAGCTCATAAGACATAGCTCCAAATGAAATCTCAGAAAACTGAAGTTCCTGGTCCAAGAAGTAGGGTAATGTTTTTTTAGGTTTTTTTTTTTCCTCTTGTTTTGTGTGGTTCCACACAGGTGTGGTGGCTTCCTCCTTGCAGCAAAGGAGGTAGGGGCTAAGATCTTCCGGGAAATTCCCGTTTGGGATAATGCAAATGGAAACACCATGTGTGTCCTTTTTCATTCAAATTGCATACAAAAAAATTGGTGATACGAGACATGAGCAAAGGCAGAAAGGAGCCTAGAGTCTTTAATCTTTAAAATCTATTTTACATGATTAAAAGGATCCTGCCTAGAAAAAAGCAAGACTGGCTATTTATATCTCCATTCTTCTCCCCACTGCTCCCCCTTTTTTCCCAGAAAATACTGCACAGTCTTTCACATCTGAAAGACCACGACTGGCTGCCATTAATTTTAATGCTAAATCCTCATCAGCATTTCAAAACATTATGAAAATGTCTAAGAAACTGTCTTCTAGTAGCTTGAAAATATCGCAGGCAGCAACCTAAATAATACTGTAAGTGCCCTGGTAAGTACAAGAGCACATGCTGGAAAGAAGAAAAATAAAAGGCTTTAGACCACCAAGCAAACGTCAGCTCTACAAAGCAGGCACAAATGGATTGCAGGATTTCATGGATGCTGAGAGTCTGAATTACCAGCTGAGCTGCACCTCACTTACAGAAAATGTGGTTTTCTTTTTCAGAGAACGCATCAAATATTGAATGCTAGTTTAGCTGTCCATGGACAAGTACATAAATATCCTTACGTGGAGGGCTCTGTTTAGGCTGACAAATGCAATTAAATGACTGGGATATGGCCAGGCCCCCCATATTAGTGCTCTGTTACTCTGCATTGGTGAGGATGATGGATGCCAATTAAATTGAAATGAATGGTCATAGGTTAAACAAATGATGACTCTGATCAAAGCCCTCCTCCTTCAGCAAGGCATTCAACCTGTCCTAAGCTTAAATACATGGTTTTAAATCCTGCTTAAAATTGAGCTTAAGTAATTTCCTGCTTAGGGAAGGGCTGGACCATGGATTTTTGGGTTAGATTTTTTAGTTTGGAATACCCATGCTTACCTAAGCCATCACGTATATGCCAAATTTCACTGGGCTTTCAGGACCTACTACTGCTGTCTCATGCTTGTTCATATTTATAGTGCTCCAGTGGGCTTGGGGAACTGAGTAAGGATTGCAAAAGCTCGTGTTATTTCTGCTTTCATTGATGGTGCTTTCACTGAAGCACTGCCCTGCAGTGGGTTGGCAGCAGAGGCCTGATGAGTGGCCCTTCTCCTGTGCTAGTAAGTGGGATGTTGCCAGTTGAAGATGATTATCCATAACATTAGTTTTCCTCCAGTGAGTATTTTTAAGTATTGCCACATCTTTCTGCTTTTGTAAGACTTAAAGTGGATTTTTTATCCTTCTCTCTTAAGAGGTTGCAAACATAAACCCCCATTTTAATAAATATTAAATTTTTTTTAAAAAATATTTTTTTTAAGAGCAGGGGGCTAATAAACGCTATTTTTTCCCCCCCCAGTTTGCATAGGAACTGTGACAAGAACTCTCCAAGCAAATAGAGTCAAAATGTCAGGGATTGCTGGGGATTCCCAGGGTTTGGGGGGGGTAAGTGTAGAGTTCAAAACAAAGGCATAGCTAGGAAACTTCCTTCAGCTCCTGTGCTGCTGCTTCTCTCTTTGATTAGACATCAGGTTGAAGTATCATCAACAGTGTGAATTCTGAAGAATACAAGAGAATGCACTTCAGGTTAGAAAGCCTGTCTTTCATTCAGGTATTAAAAAAAGAAGCCACTAGACTATTCTTGAAATAAATCACCGAGAGGGTTAGGCAGGGGCTGGAGGTGCACACTCCATTTTTCATTGCCAGCTGCTCGTAGCCAAGGTATGTTGTCAAGACCAGCCTTGGGAAAGCGCTTCCCTCTGTCCTCGCCGTGTGGCTCTCCATGGTGACATCATTAATGCTGATGGCTGTAATTGACCACAAAGCACAGACCTTTAGTCCCTACCTGATCTTCCCCAGTGTTTATACACTGCTGGCCTGACCACACAGCAGACTAATGAACATTGCACTTGACAAATATTGTCATGCCTAAGCAGGAGATAGGGATTCTGCTAAGACAAGCAACAAGCCCGGGGGCACATCACGCTCAAATAAGAAAGTTAGGAATTAATATTCATTCTCTTCCACTCACTAGGGGTCTGATCCAGATCCCTGATGTCAGTTAAGTCTTTCCACTGAGAGCCTGGCTTCCCTCCTATGAAGCAGCACTTTTAAAAAAAATACACCCAAGGAGTATAATAATAAATTTGACAGTAATAGCAGATGGTGCAAACTTTTTTTATCTGGGATCAGGACTGCTCCAGTAGATGGACGAGGTACTGACTTGAGAGGAAAAAACACAGCTCCTAATTCCTTCTAGATTTTACTGTCTGGAGTCTTGATATATGTTGGATAGCATTCCAAATTTTATGTGCTAGAGCAAGACGTGGTGAGCAATTTAGAAGAAATGAGGACCTGTGATTCTTTTTGTTGCCTGTTTCTCTGTGGTGTAAATCTGTGTGGCTGCTGAATCCAGTCTGCATGCAGAGCTTTGGGAGAACTCCCCTCTCCCCACACCAAGGCTGCCCATAAACCCCTGGGAACTGTAGTACCTGTGCTGCTAAGCTTCCTTCCCCCCACTACCTTATACTCATTTTTCTTGATGATAAACAGCATTAGAAGTTTTAATGCCTTCTTGAGGTTTTTGTTCTAGATGCTATAGTTTATTTTTATTTTATATAATTTAAGATAGAGAGCAATTCTTGCAAAATTAATGAGATGAGAAATTGTCCAAATATCTCCTTGGTCTGTTTTTCTGGTGTCTAGGCCCCACTGTACATTTTTTTTTTCTGACTTGCCATTATTTACTCAACTGCTGCCTCCTTTTTAATCTATTTCTGACAGAATCCTTAATATCAGGTAGAGTCAGATATTCCTGAAGCCTTGGGCTAAATTAACTAACTTTGCAATAGTGCAGAAAAAGGTGAAGGTCCCTGGCCCTCTGGGGGTGATTGCTTTTTGCTTTGCTCAGAGAGGCTCTAACCCTGAGCAGCTGATGAGCTGCAGCTCCCAGGGCACTGCCTGGGTCTGTTCTCCTCTCCCTGGCCCCATGTGAGCGCAGATCTGAGACCAGCATTGTGTGACTGCGGGATTTGAAGCGCCTGGGTTTGTGTGTCTGTCCCAAGGCTGGGTTTTATCACCTCTCCTCTGGGTCTCCAGCGCACAACCAGAAGCTCCTGCTCCTGAGCAGCGCCTGTGTGTGCTGGCAGGGCCTGAGGGCCGGGCGGTCAGGGGGATTTTGGGCCCCCTCAGCCTGTGCAGCTCCCCCCGGGCAGGGAGCACATTGCCAGGCGGGCAGGGCTCTGCTGACTCGCTGTTTGCTGGAGCAATGTGATCTTGTAAGACAAAGCGCTGCTGAGCATTCCTGTCACCAGATCCCGGCTGCCTGAGCAGAGCCAGCCCCTCTGGAGTGGAGGGAGCCGGAGTTGCCACCAGGCTGAGGCCTTTGGAGGCCTGTGCCAATGACGGGAGGTGATTTACTGGGATACACACCCAGGGCCAAGTCAAAGTGAGGCAGCTGAAGCGAGTGGATCTCAGGATGGGTCAGGCCTGGATGCAGCCTGGAGCATGCTGCCTGCCGTGCTGCAGCTGCTCACAAGCAGCGTTTGAAGCATTCGAAGGCGCGGTCCTGAGGCCCAGCGAGCACTCGGGCTGCCCTGGGTGTGTGGGGTGCTCCCCTGGCACCCCGACTGCGTCCTCAGCCCTTCTGCTCTGGGCCAGATGCGATTCTCCACATCAGCATCTAATTTTGTGTTCAGAATATTTTGAGCTAAATGGAGAAAAATAGATAGTTTATCACCGAAAAGAGCAAGGACTCCGTCCTTGCAGTGCTGGCAAGCAGGTGCAGGGAGGGCTTTTCAGCAGCCCTGCTTCCTTGCCTGTGGGGAACGTGCTCGGTGTACCCATCACCATCCCCAGATCCCTGGGACACGTGGCCAGGCCCTCAGAACACACTGGGGGCCAGCAGTGTGCAGTAATTGAGCTGTGCATCGTCGCAGGACTGTCTTGATCCATGATGTTTGCTGTCAGCCAGATCCCAATGGGACCTGCTGCAGACATGTCAATGTTCTGCTTCCTCTGCAGAGAGGCTCCGAGCTGCCAGGGCAGTTTTTAATCTCAATATCACCTCGCTGCTTTCACCTGTGTGCTATTAAGCTGTTAATATATCGGGGGAAAAACTCATCCAGGCAAGTGTATTAGGGATACTTAAATGAGGTAGCAAAATATTATTGTTATTAAATGTTCCCACCAGATACTTGGACAGCTTGCGTTGCAACTGCAAAGCTAACATTTCATTACAGCAAGATATATATTCATAATGGATTGCAATTTACCAAAATACACAGAGGGCCCTGGATTTGTCAGTGTGCATTTGCTCTGCAAGAAATGCATCTCACTAAAAACCAGATGTCAAAATTAACAGTAGAGCTTTTGCAGTGCAGGGAGGAAAGCTGACATTTCCGAGCTGGCATTCCAGCTGTGTTAACAGCATCAGGGGCTCTGTGTCCTTAAACACAATGTTTAGCAGCACAACTGCATTAATTCATTTAAATTATAAGTGGTGGGAAATCACCTACGCTGTGTTGGTGGCAACAATTGCAATCAAGTGAGATTCTGGATCCCCTCCTACGCCCCAAATATTTTCTCCCTTTCCATTCACTTGCCATGTTCCTGTCTAGCAAAATCACAGGAGGTTGTGAAAATTAGTTCAGTTCTGAGGAAATTGCTGGGGATCATTGTCAGGGTCAAGATTTAGAGAGGGATGAGGGAGACAGGTGTTTGAAAGCTCTTGTAAATGTCTGAGTAACTGTTCTGAAATGTAAATTATTGATTCACATCCTCCTGCTTTTTAATGTGCTTTATCTTCCTGGTAATTTAACCTAGTTTCCAGAGTATTTTTTATCTGTAGTTTTCTAGAACCTGTATTACCCATGTATTTTATCTCATCTCTTTCTCCTGCTCTTAGATGTTAGGTAGTGAGTCAGGGCACTGATTAGCTTGACTAATTTGTTGGCATAGTTTTCTGTCAGGGGAAAAAGGATGCACATTTTTAAAAGTGAAGATAATTAACTGTTGGAACAACACAAGCACCAGTGCCTTCTTCAGTACTAGCAGTAGTAATACCAGGATGTATATTTTCCTAAGAAATCTCTCTGGTTTTCTACTGTCATTAATTTTTGGAAGCCCTTAGGCCTGTACTACATGGAAGATGGATGATCCTGATGGGCCAACATGTTTTGGGACTTCCCAAACCTGGTGCTTGGGCACTGTGCTTAGTTCTGTTCCTTGCAGGAGAGGATGGGAGAAAGGGTTTGGTCCTGGGGTCCACCCCTGGAGGAATGTGTACTGTGGAGCTGGAGATCCACATCTCAGGTCACATCAGGCAAAGGGCATGAATTACTTGTGAACTGGTGGAAATCTGGGCTCCTGGAAGGCTCCTGGGGTATCTAATCACCGATGGAAATGTGAATTGCAATCTCCCAGAGCCCCTGATTGTATTGGGTGGAGCAGGCACCGCATCAAAGGGTACTGAGATGGGGTTCACCCCTGGGGGTGGGATGGGAATATGCTGTGGGCACCTGCCTGGGTACACTGCTGCATGCAGGGTCCTAGGAGATCATCCCCTCCTGCTGGCCTGAGAGGCTGGACAGGCAAGGAAAGCAGCAAAAAGGGGGATAGCAGTATGGGAGGGGTGCTCTTGGGGAGCCCTGTGGGAGTTGATATCCCACTGATAATAGGAGTTGGTCTATTTATCTGTGGGTGCTCTCCTGCTCCTGGCCACTGGCATTTGAGCACCCCCAGGGGTGCAGCCTTGCTGCTGTGGCTGTGCTGGGAGGGGAAGCAGCGTGCCAGGTTACGGGCAGGAGGAAGCGCTCGCTCACCTGCGGACAAGGGAGATATTCAATTTCAAGGCAAGATCATATTTCCTCTTTAAAATCCAGACAGATAGAGATAGCTGTTGACCCCAGCAGCATTACGTGACCTTATCTACCACACAGATATTTTCCTGAGGTTTTCTATTAGAGAGGCAGGCCCTGGGCTCCAAGGTTGAACATGGGGGTGATGCTGAGGTTTGAACCCACCCACCCACACTGAGTAGAGGTGGCTGGTGGGGCACACAAGGTGCTCTGTGTGACTGGCTGGGTGAAGCAAAGAGAGCATCATCCACAGGAAAACAGCTCCCTAAAATCAGTGTAGAAATGCTCAGTAAATCACTTGAGTGTGATCTTGAGCATCTCTTGAAATGTTTTGCTGAAGGGGGGCCCAGCGGAGGAAAAAGTCCTTGGGCAAATCACGGTGTATAAATACCTCTGGTGTGAGTGTAATTAAGGCCACAGCCCTGTCACACGATGCAGTCAGCAATAAATGGGTTCCTGAATTAGAGAGAATCTCTGCTGTATTTCAGATGTGACTGTTTGAGTTACATGTATAAAATGGCCTTTGAAATAGCAGCTGTGTCTGCGTTATCTTCTTCTGAGAGATAAGCAATTATGAGAATGTTATAATGATTTCTTTAAAAAAAAAAATTGGGTTTAAACAGCAATTGCTTTTCAGTGCAGGAGATATTTAAACATCAGTACCTTGAATTGATTAAAAAGAGCTGCACTGATAATGCAATTTTGTAGCTTGTGATTTGCACTGAGCAGTGCAATGAATCATGATGAAAGGCTGCAGAGGAGGTGTCTGATGGGACCTTCGGCCACTTTGGTGGCTCTGAGGTGGTGTGTTCATCTCACAAAGGAAGCTGCACTTGTATCAAACTCCTCATTAGCGCTGGTGTGTGTTTAGTGGCAGGTTGTTGTTCATTAGCAGTGAACATGGGAATACCTTGCCTTGCTGAAGGGCCTCTTAGGAGAGTCGTGTTTCTAAGGGATACTCTGCATTCCTCTGCACACTGATGCCTTCTATACTTGAAGGAATTTAAATATCACACTTCTGCAATTTGTATTTCTCCTGACTGCTTATTAGTCAGAGCAATTACATGTATTTTTCACACTTTCCTGAATGCACAACAGATTCCTTCCACTTGGATAGCTAACTGCTGGAAAACAAAATCTCCCAACTAATAGATAGTATCATTGAATTCTTGGATCACAGAAGAATTTGTATATGCTCCTTGAATCACAAGGCAATTTATTCAAGCCCTCTTGGAATCTGTTCTCTTGCAGCACAGAACTCTGGTGCTGGTTTCTGAGTAGGGAGCAGAGAGATGCTCACTGTTTGAGTGTGTTCATGTATCTCATGGGCACTGGCAGGATGCTGTAAGCAGATAGAGCAGTTACCAAGGTGAGCTGGACTCTGTCTCTTTGTTCTTTGAATTCCTTTTTGCAGAGTGTAAAAAACCCAAGAACAACAACAACAACAAACAACAAAAGCGGGGGGAGGGTGTTTCATTTCACTGAGCTACACTCTGAGCATCATTAATTTCACTTCTGCTTGAGGTGACACTTAGGTCTAGAATCCTTCTGTACCCTGGCTCCTGCAATTAGTCTGCTACCTCCTCAATGGGGTCTCAACTGTCTAAATCCTTGTCTTCAAGCAAGTACTGACAGCCCCCTCGTGTTAAGTTTTGTAAACACTAATTTGTGACATCTCCCGTGGCTTAAATCAAAGCACTCAAGTAAAAGTAATAATACCACTGTTAAAGTGAACGTTACAGAAGAAAATGCCTGTCACCTGATGCTAAATGGATATGACACCGAGCATGTTTCAGGAGAGGCTTCTAATGAGGAGGCGCTGGGGAAGCAACGCCGTGTGCGCAGCCCCGGCTGTCAGCTCCCGGGGCCTGCTTGGCACAAAAAGGGAGAGCAGTGCTTGTTCCCAGCCTGTTTTGCATTTTGCTCAGGTGCACATAAAAGGAGGAGAGTGGCCTGGCTCCTGCAAGTCTTTGTGTGAATGGCAGCAGTGAGATCCACTGGTGCATTGGATCACAGAGAGCCCTGCTAGTGCTCAGTGCTGGACATTCAAGTGTCTCCCTGTCCTGTAAAATTCAGTTTAGTAAGCAGGAGACACTGTTACTTGAATTTATCCTTAGACTATAGAGCTCTTTTTTATTTATCATTGGTCTCTCTATTTCTTCTTTTAAATCCAGCCTTGCAGTCTTTCTTCTGTAATCACATTGTATAAATTGAATGCATCTTTCCCCCTTTTCCTTTGTAACGCCCTGAACATTGTTGTTGTATTATCTGAACTTTCTGTGTCTAGCAATACTGGAAACAATAGGAGCCCTTGAACCCAAAACTGAGTGTCACACTTGGTAATTTTCAAAGAAACTTCTGTGAGCATTCATAGTACATCCATAATACAGACTTTCCAGCAGGTAGCTGAGCTGGTTGTACCCATCTGCTGTGTTTGAGCCTGTTGAAGGATAAAATAAACCTCTGCCAGCATACAAGAAGCCCAAGCAAACCGGGAAAACAGACAAGATTATCAGTAAGAGAAACATCATGCTGTGTAAATTCCTATCCCATGAGAGGAGCAGGGAACAGGGGAAAACGCCTGAGGCTGTTGCCTGTGCATGAACTGTAGGCTGGGAGGGCAGCACTGGATGGTGGGTGCCCACTGGGTCTCACCGGCATGGAAACTTGGCAGGTGCTCTTGTGCTGAGGGGTTCTGTGTTTTTCCACAGACATTTGCCTGAAACTGCACAGAGCAGTGATGGTGTGGAGCTCAGAGCTGCAGCGGGAGGGAGAGAATGGAGACAGGAGGAGAGGTGATGCCCAGGAAGCAGGGTGTCAGCTGGAGCTGAGGGGGAGAAGTGAAGGCAGGAACACAAGAAACACCTCCTCACCTTCAGTGTAGGAGGAGGTTTTGCTTCCTGTGACCCACGAGTGCTCTGTGCCTGCCGGAGACACCGCTGGGCAGCGAGCCATTGCGCAGAGGTACTGGCAGAGGGAACTGGGCCTCAGGACTAAATTTATTCTTCTCCTCTGCTAATTTATTCTTCTCCTTCCCCAGGCTGTCTGACAAGTGCTGTGGGGACGCCGCTGCCCCCTTGCTGCGATGCCCTGCGTGGGGAGGAAGAGATTTTGTGGAGCTGGTGCCAGCGCTCAGCAGCTGCAGCCCTGGCCCTGCGCCGTGTCCAGGGGCACAGGTGGCACTGGCAGCTCTTCTGGTGGATCCACAGCAGCTCCCTTGGGCCAGCCCAGCTGCACCAGTTCCCATCAGAGAGCAGGTTTGGTCTTGCAGGGCAGCTCACGAGTCCCTGGCTCAGAGCTGGGGTGCAGAAGGCAGCGGTGCCCTACACTGCCCAGCTCCTCCCCTGCCTAGTGCTCATTAATCCTTTACTCATAAAAGCATAAAATTAGTAAGGTTGGAATTAAACCTTTTCAGCCGTTCCTCTGTCAAGAATGTTTCTAATGTCCTTTATTTCCTTTTTTAATTAATTTAACTGGAAAAAGCACTTTCTTTTATTTTCTTATTTCTCTATTCCTTTATGATTAGGGGAAACCCCATCTAGTAAGTCTGAGTGCTTCTACCATGGAAATATTTAGTACCAGCTCTGGCATATTTATGTTGGCTCCCTGATTAGACAATGTGCCAAGCTGTCCTTTGTGGCCTTAATTATCACAACTTCAGGCCAGCGTTGCCTGCTTAGAGCATAATCCCACGGCCTAGAGTGAACCCTGAAAATGCTTAATTAAATGACATTCCACAACAGATTAAGGAGTCAGAAGCCCAAGATAAAGGGAAAGGGAGGCTGTGACCATAGGAGTGGCAGGTGCTCTTCCTTCTCAGGATAATGCTCCTGACATGGACTGTTTCATTTTGAGCACATTAAAAAAACAACATTATTTGGCAACAGTTTGGGGTCTACACTTGGCTTCTTGCATTTTCAGTGGACAGTGGTTCAGGGAGATCCTGCCTTGGGATGCAGTGGACTCTCACAGATTTTACATCAGTTGAGGACCTGCTCTGTGCTCAGGTTTTTGGGTACCTGCATGAGGCCCTTTGCCAAAGTCAGTGGATGCCTTTGCAGTTCTGAAACCCAGGGTGAGCATCGGGGTCAGACACCAAAAATCTGTTGTTTTAAAAAAACAAACAAACAAAAAAAAACCCCCAAAAATTCTAAACAAACTACCCTAAACCACCCCACCCCTCTTTCCCCATGTAAAAGCTAGTGTGCAGTTATTTGGAGCAGGCAGGATCACAGTGTGTTAGGGAGCCCTGCGGGAGCCAAAGCCACGTCTAACCACAGAAGATCAGCACACAAATACAAATGCTGAGATAATGTTACAGTGCACAGATTAGGGCTCAAATCTTCAGCAAATCTGTTCAGAGCAAGGAAATGACAGCACGTGGGGCACGTGCAGCACACTGAGCACGTCTCATTCAGAGGCACATCAGTAAAGGCAGTTATTGCTATTATTGTGTTTTATCATATTATTCCTCAATTATTTGCTCCAGCAACTCTCTTGTCTTAGCTAAATAAACTGGCTGTGCAGAAGCTGACCTGATGTGATTTCTTCTTTGTGAGGAGAGTGGGTTGTGGTTGGGTGTCACGATGTTTCCAGGGATTTGGTTTGTATGGTTTGTGTCCTTCTCCAGTTCTATAATATAATTTCAGCAATTAAACTACAGGAGAAGGGAGTGAATTAAATGTCCCTGCTACCACAGGGACAATCTTTAGGGGAAACAAAATACAGAGGAGCTGACTGAGGGTGGTCCCTGGCTGGTGCCTGTGGTCAGGGGGAGATGAAATAGCCCCAGCCTAAACCCCAGTGGGCACTTGTTACCCATGGTACAAAATATACACTATGCTTGACACAAACGGAGTCTTTGGATGCACAGAAGCAAGGAATTATTTTATATTTGATAACAGAAGCAAGGCACATTATTTCTAAACCCCATCAGCTAAGCTGTGCAAGGGACCGTAGCACATCATTTCCCTATCTCTGAAATGGAGGCTTTATTTGCTGAGCTGGGCTATTCAAGTGATGAGTTTTTAGCATGAGGGAGGCCTCTTGCTGAGGCTGCAGGTGCTTAACCCCTTACCCTGTGGCTGGTCATGCTGGGGTGCAGAGCAGCAACCCAGGGCATGTCCCAGCATCAAGCCAGCCCTGAGCTCCTCTCCTCTGAAATGCTTTTACAGAGCCATCATCTGCCTGAATGCTCCCTGACTTCACCCAGCACAGTGCATTTACCAACATTAACATTTATCATCTTCTCTGGCAGCTTTCCTTTTTGCAAACTAAAAGTAGAAAACTGTTAAAGAAGTAAGTGAAATCTGACAGCAAAAACCTCTTTTTAGGTATTCCATGGAGGAATAACCCAGGGCAATATGTGAAGCAGAAGTATTTCTATTTACCTAGAGGTACTCTATGCTTGGAGTCAACAGGACTGCACTGATTCCTGTTCAGAGCTTTACATGTGATAAAAAACACTGACTCACATTTGTTTTCCTTATGCTATGTGTACTATCACTCTTCAAACTGAAAATTTATCTTGTTGCAGTCTGAAGATGCAGTTCTGCAGGTGTTAGAGCATCCTCAGGTTCTCCCATCACATCTCCAAGTCATCCAGCAACATGAAACTTTTGGATGCTTCTCTCTCCACCTGGGTGGAAGGTCAGACAGAGTGGGGATTTTGCCCAGTTTGGTCTTCACGAAGCTCCTGTGTGTGTGTACAAGCTGGGACCCCCTCAGCTGCAGCAAAGCTTTGTGCAGGTGAAGCCCCAGCCTGAGCAGAGCCCAGCTGAAGGCTTTCTTTGTGGCTAGAGCAGCCTAAAAGCACTTTTGTCTAAACACAAAAGTGTTTAGATCCAGTCTTCAGCCTTGAAAGTGCTGCTTTGAAGTTTCTGGGCCTTCACATGTTCTCCAGACTTTCATTTCATGTACTGGGTTTTTTTGTAGGTTTGTTTGGGGTTTTTTAAGATTTCAGGTAAGATTTCAACAAGCTGGGGATGTATCAAAGTATAAAATACTTTGCTTGAGTCTTAATCAATCCAAACTGTTCTCTTAAGAAGGAAAAATAAAGGCTGTTAAAGCCAGCCAGACACAAGGCAGCAGATGTTTCTCTTTAGTGTCAGAGCTGCAATCTTTATTAAATACCAAAGAAAGCCCTGTAAATCCAGGAAGGCAGTTGAGTCTATGCTGAGGATACCTCTTCCTGAGGCCAAACAGCCTTTCCTGAGTAATCTGTTTTTCCTGCTGATCTTTCAGTGGTGTTTCTGTGACATAAAAGAAAAAGGGAAAATGAATATTTAACTGTGGAAACATCTTGATTGTTTGAGCCTAAAAAGAGAAGGGAAAGAACAGGGATGATGCTGTTCCTACCTGTGCTGACTCCTGCTTGGCACCAGGAGTAAGGTGGGACCATCCCAGAGGACTCCTGGAGATGCCCCAGGTGGAGCAGGGAGCTGGTTTGTCTGGTCACCACACAGCTCATGGGCAGGCATATCTTCCCCAAAGAACATGTCTGAGGGAAAGCAAACCTATCCCTGCTGCCTGGGAATGGCAGAGCGAGGTCTCTGCAGAATGGAGAGAGCTCTTGGGGGCTGGCTGCAGAGCACTGCCCATAATGAGCCTGGTAGTTTTCATTAGCATTGCTAATGGCATCTTCCACTTTTAAGAAATAACAACAAGGTTTCATGAATTAATAAAAGGAAGAGGGTGATTGACTGAACAAAGGGTGTGCCAGCCTGTGCAGCTGGTCTGCTTTAACTAGGTAATGTCCATAGATACGGCGTTAATTTAATTCTCAGTTGAAATACTCCAGAGGAAATGTCAGATCAATAATGTAGGAAAGGGCAAAGATTTGCTAAGCCTGGCTGGCTTGCGTATGTTAACTACCATGAGATAGATATGGATAAATGCTGAACATTAAGGTGAGTAATCACAACTGTCTTGGGTGTCTGAAAAAATTTTCTGCATAAACGCTGTACAAAACAAACATTTTTCAGGCAAGAGGCTGGCTAACAGGTTGCTATTTCATGCACAGCTCTGCAGTTAATATCCATGGGCTTGCTTTTCTTTCTGGAAGAGGACAAAAAGCCTCCTTTCCATTCCTCCCTCGTATGGTACAGAGCCCCTGTGCCCATCCCTACTCAGGGTCCTGCAGCAACACATCTTCATGCCTGCACACATGTGGGTACCAGCTCTAGCTCATGGTGGTTTTAAATTCAGGTTTGCATCTCAATTTTACCTTTTACCACATTGCTTGTGAGATTTCCATTGGGCTGGGTGGCAAAGGTGCTCTAAAAGCAAATTCCATCTCTCCTTGTTAAGAAGCACTTCTGTTACCAGGAGCTGTGCTCAGTTGTGGTCATGTCTGGCACGCTCTCATTGCAATGGAACAAGAACAAACACCTTTCATGGCCTTTGGGCCTATATCTCAACTATTTGACAGTTGCACTCTAATTTTTCCATGCAGTTTTGGCTAAACTCCTCAGAAACCTTGAGGATTTATTTATTTAAATAACACTATCTCCTCCAGCACTGAGAGCCAGGGCTCTCCCAGAACCCGTGTGTGTGTATGTGTGTGGAGTTTATGGGAACACTGTGATTTCAGAATTGCCAAAACAAACAACAGGTGCCTGTGTTATTTTGCAAGTAGGAGCTGCTCAAATATCAGACTTTGGCAGAGAGGAGGCTTCCTTACCACACTGATCTTCTTACCCCAAAGGCCCCTGGGAACCTGGGTGGTGTATTTATGCTAAAGGATAACGAGTTGGAAAATACTTTGAAAACACCTTTGATGAAGAAGTCTTTAAAGTGCTTTCCCAGCTACTTGTTCATCTGCTTAATTTCTGCTTTCAACAACACTATGGATCAGTATCAGGTTTAAGTATAACTGGAGAAGGCACAGGGTGACTCAGAGAATCCCATAATAGCCTTTTTCCTAGGGGCTTGGCTTACCTTCTCCAGAGAACTGGGCATGGGTGTAGCTACACTGAGGTCTGTACCAGTACAAACCTGTGGTTCAGAGACGGGGTGGGATTGGGAGAAATGCTCACACCAGTGCAGGAAGCCTCCTCCAGGAGCTGTGCAGCTTGCAGGGATGTCCAGGCAGAGTTTGTCATGCTGGTGGTTAAAGATGGGTGTGCTGTGGGAGTGAGACTGTGCAGAACAGTCCTTCAAGTGGGGCTTCTTCCCTTCTCCAAGGGATACAGTAGAGCTGCTGGCCTTTTTGGGATCTAGTTAAATCAAGACACTCCAAAGAACCAGCTCCTGCCTCAGGAGACACCCACTCAATATTTGCCATATCATGGCACTGGTTTCCCAGCAAGGTGACAACAGACAGGGTCTGTCCCCTCAGTGACACGAGCCCCTGCCTGGGCAGGACAGCACGGGAGGTGTGTGCTGCTGCTTTGTAAAGAGCTCTGAGCAGCCCAGTGCCTCCATCCCCACTGTCAACTGGCCTCTTACTGGGGCTTTTCCCAGCTGGGTTATAAAAGGAGGAAAGAAAAGAGCTGACAGAGCTGGAACTGCTTTAAGGTGGAACCGAAACAATAGCTTGTGGCTGTCTGAATCAGTTCCCTTGTTCCATGAATTTGACTCAGAGCTGAGTATTTCAGAGCTTCAGAGAGAAAAGGCTTATTTCAATTTTGGTTCTAATAATGGGCAAAGGTCACAGCAGTTGGGAGGAGAGGGGAAATGAAAGGCATGGGCTTGGCTGTTTTCTCTGAACCAGCTTCACCCGTTCCTGGTTACGATCTCAGCAGAATAATAGCTGATCCTGAGCAAAGCCAAGAAATGAAATTAACACATGCAAAATTACATTACAGCCGTGTCAGGATCCTGCTGCCCGGCAGCGTGAGCAATGCGTCCCGGAGCACACAGCAAGGATGGCACAGGAAAACTGATGGCTGGGAGCAGATCACCTCCCTCTGCCAGGCACAGCCCATCCCTGCCTCTCTGTGCTCTGGGGCACCTGCAGCTATGCCCTTGGGGCTGGAGAGATGCCCTGCTACCACTGCACCCACGGCTCAGCCTCCTCCCAGCTCCCCACAGTGCTTTAACATGCTGTAAATCCAAACCTGAAACCTGCCAGGAAGCTTGAGGATGATGCTTGAGCTTCTCCAGGGACTTGGCCAGCTTTCAAGAGCAGCTCATAGCACATGAGAGCTGCCTGGGAGGAGCATCCAGGACCCCTGGCCTTACAGAATAACCCAGCAGTAGGCACTTCCCTGGCTCTGATCCCTTGATCCAAGCCTATCTTGAGGTGTGGATGCTCATCCCTCAAGGCTGGTGTGCCTTTGCTGGGCTGGGAGCACAGTGTGTGGCAGGAGCCTGGAAGGGCTGAGGAGACACTGGCAGGTGGCGAGGCAAGTGCTGGCTGTGGGGAGTCCTGGCCAGAATCTCCCACCTGCTCCTCCATTTCCAGCTCCACAGGAGCCAGCAGCAGGGTCAGGCCTCGCACAGCTCATGCTGCTGCCGGTACCAGCAGCTGGGAGCTACTGAAAATGTGCCAACACACCCACTTTGACCCCCAT